GCAGAATCAGCCCCAGCAAGCGTGGCCAATGGCCTTTCAGCAACACTTGGAGGGCTCAAGGTTCTCCAGAAGTTCTTTCTTCTCGCCCCCTTCTGTGAAAAGCACACATGGAAATAATGAAAACTCAAAAGAGTATTGGGATGGTAAACAGTGGGAGACCGATACGCATTTCCCCAACACCTGCTTTTACAAGGTCCAAAGAGTCAGACTGAAACAGAATGAGAAATCACACACTGGGAAATATTGAGACAGACTGCAGCCTTTAGGCCTCTATAATGGCTGGAATTCTCTCGTGCCTATTCAGGGAGAGACAACGGCAAGTGCCCACAGTGGAACAGCCTCGAGGTGCTGTGTTGCTCCTTTCAGGCTTCAAATGCCTTTCAAAGCTTGCAGAATGAGCTTACAATAAAGAGCATAGTAATTCAAATGTTAATATCTCATTAAGTTTTATGAGCAGAGAGGGAAGAGGGAAAATAGAAAAGAAAGCAGCAGCAATGGAGCCTTTTCATGTGAAGTCAACAATAATATATATATATATATAAAACATACGGTACACTTGCCAATAGACTTGGAGGTATTTTCTGCATCATTCTGCTGTCACTGGGTCATAGCATCAGTGGGGAAAAGCTGAAGGAAGGTGCTTTGGGAATTTTCCTTTAAAAAATCAGCACAGACTTGAGATGGAATGGACTTGCTGATCTACTCATGTACAAGGGACACAAACTGGATCAAGACTTTCATCCTAGCCTGCAAGATGGCCTGGTTCACATATTACGCTAAACCACAGTGTATTAAACTACAGCTTAGTATCATGTGTGAACCTTGGTCCTTGCCCAGAGGCTTAACTATGGAATGTAGAAAGAGCCTGCAAGATGAGGTCAATGGTCCCTCTAGTCGAGCATCCTCTTTTCACAGTGGCCAACCAGATAACCTCTGTGAAGCACACAAGCAGGGCATGAGCTCAACAGCACTTTCCCACCTGAGAGTCACAACAACTGGTATTTAGAGGCATGGTGCCTCTGGCAGTGGAGACAGAACATAGCCATCATGAATTTGTCTTGTCCTCTTTTAAAGTAATTCGAATTGGTTTGTTAGTTTAAAATAATTCAAGTTGCGGCCTTGGACCCATGTACCTACGGGACCGCCTCTCCTGGTATGCCCCATGGAGGACCTTAAGGTCCACAAATGACAACACCTTGGAGGTCCCAGGTTAGATTGGTCTCAATTAGGACCAGGGCCTTTTCAGTACTGGCCCCATCTTGGTGGAACGCTCTGTCACAAGAGACTAGGGCCCTGCGGGACTTGACATCTTTCCGCAGGGCCTGCAAGACAGAGCTGTTCGCCTGGCCTTTGGTTTGGACTCAGTCTGACCCTTATGTTTCCCTCCCCTTATGGTTTTGATCTATGGGCTACTATTAAAAGGAGGCTGCATTTTAAATTATATTTTAACCTGCATTTTAAATTGGTTTATTTATTTTAATTGTAATTTTACTGGTGTTAGCCGCCCTGAGCCCGGCTCTGGCCGGGGAGGGTGGGGTATAAATTAAAAAATATATTATTATTATTATCACTGCCTTCTATGGGAGGGAGTTCCATAGTTTAATGATGTGCTGCATAAAGAAGTATTTTCTTTTATCTGCACTGAATCTTCCAACATTCAGCTTCATTGAATGTCCACAAGTTGTAATGTTATGGGGGGGGGACTATCCTCTATCTGCATTCCCCATGCCAGGCATAAATGTGTATACTTCTGTCTTAACACATCTTATTCACTTTTTCTCTAAACTCAAAAATCCTAAATGCAGTAACCTTTCCTTGTGGGAAATTTGCTCCATCCTCTTTATCATTGCCATTGCCTTTTTCTGAATCTATTCCAACACCTCCAGACCAGAACCATACAAAGAATTCCAGATTCAGTCGCATCACAGATTTGTACAATGGCTTTATGACATCAGCAGTTTTATTTTCAATTCATTTCCCAATTATTCCTAGCATGGAATCTGCCTTTTCCACAGCCGCTGCGCCGTGGGACGACATCACCATCAAGCATCCCACTACGACCCCAAGCTCCCATTCCTGGCCAGTTCAGAAAATGTGGCTTGGCTGTAGTCACTACCCAACAGTGGCTTTAATGTAAAACGGTAAACAGGAGAGCTTGGAGGGGTGAGGGCTGGTCATGATAGCTATATTGTACCTCCATTGTTGGAAACAGCATCCTTTGATTACCTGTTTCTGGAACTGCAGGTGAAGAAAAGGACCTTTGCACAGGTTCTGCTAATGGGGTTCCTACGGGCATCTAGCTGGCCCTCGTGAGAACAGGATGCTCAACTAGATGAGCCTTTGGCCTGATCCAGGAAGGCTCCTATAATCTGTCAATTAATGCTAAATATCTTACAGAGGAGAAACATTGAAGCAGCACAGCACAAGGCCAGACACTACAGATAGATGAGATATATTTTAAAAAATCTAGTGATTTTACTTGCTATTGTCAAAACTATTGGGCATCAGAAAAAGAGAAAGAAATGCATTATCTATCAGCCAGGTGTTTGACAGCCTACTGTGTCTGTCCTCGCAGGCTGCAGAGCTGCCAACTTTTCAGCCATTTATTGTCATTCAGCTTTTAACTGCTGCTTGATGAACAGATATCTGTAGATGAGAAAGTTTAGCCCTGTGCTTTGAAAAGCTTTGCCTGCTGGTTTCTGCACAGCAAACTCCAGGCTGTGCAGAAACTTAGCCAGGCAAAAGAGCTGGCTAAGAAGATTCCATTTCCTGATCAGTTGGCAATCTTACCAGTCAGGATTAAAACGGGAGGTTTATCAAACACCCGTTGCGCTAATTTCACCTTGGTGGATCACAAACACTGCAGTTAGCCAAGGCTACAAATGTGAGGATTCCACCAAAAAGTTGCTTCATAGGTCTGGCCCTCATTCTGCAATTACTTGCACTTCTGCTAGAAATCAGCATTGAGGTTAGGGCAGGAGGAGGGACCAGCTGTGGCTTTGTATGTGGAAGGCTCCAGGTCCAATGAGCCTGGCATCTCCAGTTAGAAAGGAGCAGGTAGTAGATATGGAGAAAGTGTCACGCAGTGGTAAATCAATCAAAGCAGAGTCTTCATAAATAGAATGAAACTGAAGAAAATAAAGTTGTTCATAAACAGCATAGTTCAAGAGCATACACAGAGTGCTCATAGCAGCTATCTGACTCTTCACAGAGGCACAGTCTTAGTTACGGATTTACTAGAGTCCTGGAGCCACTCTTGTCTGCAACAACACAACACACACACTGGCTGAGACACACAGAGAGACATTGGCTACTTTTATAGGGAGAATGAGTCATCACTCAAGATGAGCCGTGAGTCACAGTGACTTAGCAGTTTGCTGTTAGCAGTTAGCAGGCTTGAATGATTGTGTAGTCCTTGTAGTCCTTACTGCTTCTGCTCTCAAGAACCTTTGTCTCATGACAGAAAGAGCCTCCTTGCCAGAAGAACCCAGAGAACCACTGTCAGTCAGAGTAGACAATACAGGGTTAGATAACCAAATAGCCTAACCTGGTAGAAGGTAGCTGTGGGAATGTTCAGGGTGGCAGAAGAGGATATATTGTTTATTAATATCCTTCCTAACTTGTGCTATCAAGTTCCTTTACTTATCAGAGTGCATTCCTCTTTACACAGCAGAAAACTAGCTGCAAACTCGTGAGAGTTTCTTAGGACAATACACAATTCAATCTGGCTTGTCCAGATTGAAATGTCTTCTGGTATTTTCTTGGTAAGACCCCTTGAATCCCTCCTAAAAGAATAAAGACACCACAGTCTTATTCATAAGCAATAAAAAGAAAGTTTACTCATGATCAGGCAGAGCACAGTGTGATCCCTGAAGGCAGGCTTAAGGCTTAAAGATACAAGCATATACAAACAGGTTTACCCCCATATGTGGGTTGACCTAGTGGCTGCACTTAGCAGTCCGGGAAGTTCACAGGCTGAAAGGAAGATGGAAAAGAGGGAGAGAGGCAGCATGCCTTGTCCTTTTACCAGATGTGGAAAAGTCATGCCCACCCACTAGTCGCATTCAAGGAAGGATGCTCCAGCCCAGGAGGAACAGGAAGTTTCAACTGGCTGGACCAAACATTCCCTTGCATGTCCACTCTAGGAAAACAAGGAATGTTGTACTTGACTGTTCTCAGTGGATTACATCCCACCGTAGCCATTTCCAACCTTCTGCCCACCAAGAGCACAATCCTACGTGCATCTATTTGAAAGGAGGTCTCATTGAATTCAAGAATGCTTGCTTCCAGGTCACAGTAGGGTGGGGAATGGAGAGCAAATATTAAGGTTATCCCTTAAAATTGGCAGGCGGCGGATTTTAAGACCAAGAAAAGGAAACAAAAGAAGAGGCAAAGCCTCAAAATAGCCTCAAAAAAGCCTCAAAATAGCATTGGAAAAATGTTCTTTTTAAAAAATCAAATCAAATCAAATAACAGTCCTTGTAAAACAATAGCACGCCCAGCATGTTTCAGCTGACAACAATAGCTTCTTCGTGGTACGAGATGAAAGGTTCTCCTGTCAAGGCAACAGCTTGCTGAGACAAATAAAAAGGATTTGTTCACACAACACACAATCAACCTCCAAAAGCACACTTCCAGATGACCTGTTTATTATGCATTTTATCTTGCTTTGATTGCAGGGAGATTACTTAGTGTCGGCTACTTAAGGAGCATTCATTCTGATTTATCTGCAGGGAGGTGAGATGACCCTGGTTCCTGAGGAAGCCAAATAATCTGACCTGACATAAGAAAACTCCTGATACCTATTTAAATTGGCACTGGACCATATATTTTTCCAGAATGAGGGCCACACAGAGCTATCAGCACTAGGGCTTGCTGCTTGCTAATTAACCAGGGATTTGGGATAGGCCCTCCATATCACCTGCCCAGAAATATGGAGAGACCTCCACAGAATGTGAGACTGAGATTTTGAGCGGCTATAGCAAAGATTCCTTCCAAAAATGAAGCGGGTACAGCTTAATCCCAGCTTTAACCCTTCCTTAATGTGCATAACAGAGTCCTGGGGCAGAGCCTTAGCTAAAGTTGTGTTGACGCTCCTTGGCTTCCTTCTCTGGGGAGCTGCTGTGGCTTTAGTCCTTGGTGGTGCTTTTGTAATCCTCACCTACAGAAGCTACGGAGTCTTCTTTCAGAACAGATTCTTCCTTGTGCCAGGCTGGCTGGCCATCATGGCTGCTCTTCTGCTGGTCCCCACCGGTGCTTTGGCTATATGCGCCCCAGTTAAGAACTCTCGCCTTCACCAGGGGACTTTGATGTACTTTCTGTTGGTCCTTCTCTGCCTAGAGGCATCTTCAACCATCATGACCCACGTCTACTGTGTCAAAGCAGGCCATCAACTGAAAAACAGCATGGACCACTTCTTTCTCCAATACAACAGAACTGCTCCACATCACCGTAGCAACAGGGCTGTTGATGCAACCCATAAGCAGCTGAAGTGCTGCGGAATCGACAACTACACTGACTGGATGGCAGCGCTGCCAACTCGTCTCCAAGCTGGGCATGTCTTTGCCCCCGAAAGCTGTTGCAAAGAGGCTTATTTGGACTGCAGGGGTGACGTAAGCCAGCCGGAGAAGCTGTTTAAGGAAGGCTGTCTTCAGAGACTGGAAGGGAGGCTGCATTTTGTTATGGGATATATGGCTTGGTGTTGTATGGTGGTGGTTTGGTTGGAGATGCTGGCCGCTCTTAGCAATGGAATACTTATGAAGGAACAGCCATTCCAAGACTTCCAAATTCTTGATTCTGCTGCTTTCTCATAGGCAACAAAATTAGTCCCTTTCCATCTTAGCTGAAGTTATTGCGCGCTGCTCTCAAAGCTTGAGATGGCCTTTGTGAAACTATGGGAAATATGAGACTAAAACCCCTTCTTGGTATATAGATGCCACATCTTCTCTCTCTCTCTCTCTCTCTCTCTCTGACTAATACTAAATAAATGAATGCATCTGAAAACTTTGGACGGTGGGCAATTTTTCTAGCATTGCATGTGTGACAGTGAATCCTTTGATACTGGTTGCCTTTGCTACTGATTGTACAGTTGCAAACTCTTCCACTGCTCTGGAAGTAAAGCTGTTTGAATGTTGGCAGTCCAACTTTAGTGAGGGAAAGAAAAAAATTCTGTTGGTCATTAAACCTCACACAGACCAAGGTCTGGAAAGAGGTCCCATCAGGTAGAGAAACTTAAGAGAAGAATGTCTGTAGTGCTGAGTAGGTACATAAAAGAAAGATTAAGTGAAGGAAAGGGAATTATGCTAGAAAGGGCACTGTAGAAATGAAGGATGAGAAAAGAATGAAAGGGGGTCTGACAAGGGGGGTTTGGAGGACTCAAAGCTGCAGGCCTGGGAGCTTAGTATTCCAAGATATATGACTGCTGTGCCTTTAAGAGCTGTCAGGCTTCAGAGAAATGGCTTCTGCCCCACTTTGGCTGTGCATCAGCAGAACAAAGCAATTAGAGTCCCTTACCATTTTAAGAGTGTTTAATGATCCCAGCAAAAGAACACAGCAGCCATTCTTGGAGCGAAGGTGCTCCCAATTAAGTTTTCCACCTCCTTCCCAGAGTCATTGTCACTTCCCCTTCTTGCAACCTGATCTCGCAACCACTGAGTCTTCTGCATAGCAACCTTATCAGCTCTCCTTGCCTTGGGAGAGAGAGGCTGGACACTCTCAAGCGAAGGGGAGTCAGTTCTCACTCTCTCTTCCTGTTCTACTTCTTCTAGCTGTTTCCCACTCAGCTCTGCCCAGCTATTGTTTTCAGAACTATGTCCCTCTGCAAACCAGTTCTCTAAATCTATGCTGCTCCACTATTCCTGAGTAGCTTCAGGATCCTGGTCAGGACCAGGAAGAGGGGGAGATTCCCACCATTCCTCTTCAGAGCTGTAATCCCTGTCTGGTCTCTGACAGTTGTACTGAAAGATGTGGAATGCAGTCAATGCAGTCAAACCAAGTATTCATGTTTGCTAGATAGACACATGATGGGACTTGAAGCTCACAGAAATTACCTGTAAGTTTGCTAGAGAGAAACCTGTGAGAGACACTCCCACTGGGCCCTGACAGCAGGAGGGCATAGCCATAAATATTGTCCTACCTGCCTGGGCACATCCTTTCTGTCTTCTTTACCTCTTCATCTATTCACCAAGTGAACAATGTGAGGACATCTGAGTCTGAGCTACATGCTCAGACTCCATCTTAAGCGAGACTAAAGTATGTCTTTGTAACTGAGTTACTATTTTAAGTGTGCCTGAATAAAGCTGCTCCTGTTACTCTTCAACAAGTATTCAGAGTGAGTAAATGTTATTTTTACCTTTCACAAGGCTGGTTGTGTGGTGGTTGTTTCAAGGGGGAGAAGAGGAGAAACTAGCAGGAGAATCCCTTCTGCATCAAAGCACCCTGGATTCCTTAAATTTAAAGGTTAAAACTAGCCTATCTAAGCTAGGTTACTATCTAATAAATATATCCCAACAAAAGGTCATTCTTTTCAGTAGTGGCTTCTGTTGTTTCCTGGCAATCCTGAGGGCGAAGAAGCAGCTTGGGGTGGGATGGAGACTGGATTTTATAAATTGATTGGAACTAACCAGGCAGTGCTTGGGCTGCAGGCCTCTGGTTAATGTTTATTTCAACATTTGCAAAACTAAAGCTACTGAGTGTGGAGTAGATGGAAGAAAGGGGTGCTTTTCTTGTGTGTTTATAACTGCCCAATTTTCCCAGGATGGCAACCCTTCTATAAATATTATTTCATTGTTCCTGAAGGTCTCAGGGTGCAAACCTAATCCCTTACCAGCAGCAATAGGACTTGGTGGTGTGGCACAGTCCCAGTGCCAAGGAGATAAGTAACTATACAACTTTTAGAAGACATCTGATGTGTAATGTTTTCTTATGTTTTTATATATGTTGGAAGCTGCCCAGTGTGGCTGGGTTAACCAAGTCAGACAGGTGGGGTATAAATAATAAGGTGGTTGTTGTTGAATAGGACGTTCCTATTTTCATCAGAGGGTAGGAATTAGGTCAAGGCCTGCATAAAATTAGGCCTGCGTACTTGTGCTGCCCACCTGTGTGGACAGCAGGGATGGGGAAGCCATGACTTTCCAGATGTTGATGGACAACAATTCCCATCATTCTTAGTCAATGGTCTTCTGCCTGGGGACGATGGGAGTTGGAGTCCAGCAAAATCTGGAGAGATAAACTTGAGAACTAATGTGGAGAAAAGAACAATTTGGGACGCAAGCAAGGCCGTGATGTGAGGTTTCCTAATACAACAAAATTCCATAAAGAGGAAAAAGCAGAATGAGAGGAAAGAGAAAATCTTGGAAAAAATGAAAGAAGGTGAAAAGAAATTGAGGTCTAAACCAAAGTCTCACGAGATTTTGAGGGAAATAAAGTACTACCAGATGCAATACATGGAATTGATGAATCAAGAGATAGAATGGAAAATAAAGCAAATGAGACAAAAGACATTTGAATCGGCAGATAAATGTGGGAAACTTCTGTCATGGCAATTGAAAAAGAGGCAAAAACTGAACACTGTGACAAGTTTGGAAATGGACGGAAAGATAATCCACAAACCAAATGAGATAAGTAATTGCTTTCAAAGTTTTTTCAGGAAGTTATATGCACAAGGGCCAGTCAACGAACAAGAAATAGAAGAATTTATCAAGAAGTATGGATTACCAAAGATTTCAGAGCAAAGCAAAATGATTTTGAATGAGAAAATAACAGGACAAGAAATAGAGGGTGCCATTCAGAATATGCAATTGGGAAAATCTCCAGGACCAGATGGTTTGACGGCTAAATATTACAAAGCATTGAAGGAATGGCTAGTACAACCACTGATGGAAGTTTGCAATGAAATTTTGGAGGGGAAAAAGGCACCTGAATCGTGGAAAGAAGCTTTCATCTCACTTATACCGAAAACTGAGACTGAAAAGAACCAGGTTAAAAACTACCGCCCTATATCACTACTTAATGTGGATTACAAAATTTTTGCAGATATTTTGGCAAAAAGACTGAAGAGAGTGTTGGTAGGGGAGATTCACAAGGACCAAACTGGCTTTCTTCCAGGGAGACATATGTCAGATAATGTGAGGAACATTATAGACATTTTGGAATTGTTAGAAGTGGATATTAATAGGAAAGCTGTTTTAATTTTTGTGGATGCGGAGAAAGCCTTTGATAATATTTGCTGGAGTTTTATGAAGAAGAATCTCCAAGGGATGGGGGTAGGCCAAGGTTTTGAAAACGGTATAGGTGCTATATATTCTAAACAAAAAGCAAAGTTAATTGTAAATAATGTGGTTACGGAAGAAATACCTATAGAAAAAGGTACACGACAGGGATGCCCAATATCCCCTTTACTTTTTATATCAGTCCTGGAGGTCTTGTTAAATATGATTAGAAAGGACCAGTTGGTTAAAGGAGTTCAGGTCGGAGCCAGACATTACAAACTAAGGGCATTTGCAGATGACCTAGTACTGACTTTGCAACAGCCAGATACTAGTACCAAAAGAGTATTAGAACTAATTGAGATATTTGGTCAAGTAGCAGGATTTAAACTGAACAAACAGAAAACAAAAGTGTTGGAGAAAAATCTAACAATGGCTGAAAAAGAGAAGTTTCAGAGTGAAACAGGTTTAGAGATCACAAAAAAAGTGAAGTACCTGGGGGTAAATCTGACATCTAAGAATGTAAACTTATTTAAGGACAACTATGACAAATGTTGGACAGAAGTAAAGAAAGATCTAGAAATATGGTCAAGATTGAGACTTTCCTTGTTAGGCCGAATTGCTGTCATTAAGATGAATGCATTGCCTAGAATGCTGTTTTTATTTCAGACACTCCAGATCATGGATAAGATGGACTGTTTCAAGAAGTGGCAGAAAGACATATCCAAATTTGTCTGGCAGGGCAAAAAGCCCAGAATAAAATTTAAGATTTTAACTGACGCAAAAGATAGAGGGGGGTTTGCCCTGCCGGACTTAAGACTCTACTATGAATCGGCAGCTTTCTGCTGGTTGAAACAATGGCTGCTTCTTGAGAATACAGACATTTTGGATCTGGAAGGGTATGACAATAGATTTGGTTGGCATGCATATATATGGTATGACAAGGTAAAATCGCATAAAGGCTTTAAAAACCATATTGTTAGGAAAGCATTATACAATGTGTGGATAAGATACAAAGACCTATTGGAAAGCAAAACTCCCAGGTGGTTATCACCAATGGAAGCTAAAGAGACTAAAAAACTTAATATGGAGTCGAAATGGCCAAAATACTGTGAAATCTTAGAACAAGACGGAGAAAGAGTTAAACTACAGAGTTATGAGAAATTAAAATCTAAGGTAAGAGACTGGCTGCATTACCTCCAGATAAACGAAGTATTTAAACAGGACAGGAAAATAGGTTTCCAGATGGAGAGGTCAAAATTAGAAACAGAACTGTTAGAATCCAATACTAAGAACTTGTCAAGAATGTATAATTTGCTGTTGAAATGGAATACACAGGATGAAACGGTTAAATCAGCTATGATTAAATGGGCACAAGACATTGGTCATGATATTATGTTTGCTGACTGGGAACAGTTATGGAATACTGGTGTTAAGTTTACGGCATGTAATGCATTAAGAGAAAACATTATGAAAATGATTTACAGGTGGTACATGACCCCAGTCAAGCTTGCAAAAATTTATCATTTGCCCAATAACAAATGCTGGAAATGTAATGAGACTGAAGGTACCTTTTATCACCTTTGGTGGACATGCCCGAAGATTAA